TTATACAAGAACCGGGGTACAGGCCACATGTGTGGGAGGGTGAGAGGATTCACCAGAGACAGTGCGGGAAACAACAGGCAGACTTACTGGAATACAGCAGGTGAAACAGGAGAGGTCTGCCGTGCCATGTGGGTATCTCCCCCCAGGCCGGGATCGAACCCACACTGCAGAGGCTGCACAGCTTCACAGCACTGTACTCAACTGCCTGCGCCACCAGGGAGGCCCATAGGGTGATACTCTTCTGATGAGTGCAAGTGCCACATTTGCTTATTCCTTAGATTGTTCCATCTTTCTCTTCCCACAAGTTACAATACTATGAATTAGACTCCAGAATTAAAGAGAAAAATACAGACATAGCAAATGTAAATTTTTCATATTACAACTCTTTTGATAAATTCCACCAATAGAAACAGAGAAAATCTTTGTCTTACTTTTTCAAAAAGACAAAATGAATTTGTCAGCCTACCTGGCTCTATTCTTAAAAAAAAAAAAAAAAAAAAAAAATCTGTAAGCTATATTATGTGGTTCTATAATCAATATATGCAAATAAGCAAATTAGAAGACATATCAAGATTCTTCATCAAATTTCTTAAAATGTCATCTATAATGAGAAACACAGACATTAATTCAAAAACAAAAAAAACCACTTTCATAGGATTACAATAATTTTGCATTTTGTTTATCATATTTTCTACCAGTTATCTTTTATATTTTTGGCTAAAAAATTTGTCTGAATCTTAGACTCTGATTAACATGTTAAATTTGTTTGTTGAAATACAATTAAAAATTTAATTGAAATCTAAATTTAATAATCTTGACTTTAAATTTTGTCTTAAAACACTATGGCTTTTTTTAATTTTATATATCTTACATCATTTTTCATTTTTGCACAATATATGCATTTTCACCTTGGTTATAGTTCCCATACAATTCCCACCCCCCTTGTTTTGATCCTACTCCCTTCTCTCCCCCCTGTAGTGTGTCCCTGGTTTATAGCTGCTTGTTGATTTTGATTTTATTATAATTAGTCTTTTTCCTGGTCCCTTATTTAGGTTTTCTAAATTCCTGCTATGAGTGAAACCATCTGGTATTTTTCTCTTTCTTTCTGGCTTATTTCACTGAGCATGATCCCTTACAGCTCTATCCATGTTCCTGCAAATTGCATGAGTTTATCTTTCTTGATTGCTGAGTAATATTCCATTGTGTATATGTCCCACATCTTCTTGATCCAGTCATCTATTTTTGGGCATTTGGGTTGTTCCAATAGCTTAGCTATTGTAAATAGTGCTGCTATAAACATAGGCGTGCAGTTGCCCTTTTGAATGAATGTTTCTGTGTCCTTTAGGTAAATAGCTAGGAGTGGAATTGCTGGATCATATGGAAGCTCCATCTTTAGCAGATTGAGGAATCTCCACACAGCTTTCCATAGTGGTTGAACCAGTTTGCACTCCCACCAGCAGTGCAGGAGAGTTCCTTTATCTCCACATCCTCACCAACATTTCTTGTTGCTAGTTTTTTTAATATGTGCATTTCTCACTGGTGTGAGATGGTATCTCATTGTAGTTTTGATTTGCATTTCCCTGATTACAAGTGATGCTGAACATTTTTTCATATGCCTGTTGGCCATTTGCATTTCCTCTTTGGAGAAGTTTCTTTTTAGTTTTTTTAGTTCTTTAGTTTCTTTTGACTGGGTTATTTATTTTGTTTATGTTGAGTCTCATCAGCTCTTTGTAGATTTTTGTGATCAGTCCTTTATCATTAGTGTTGCGTGCAAAAATTTTCTCCCAATCAGTGGGGTGTCTCTTAGTTTTGGTTTCTGTCTCTTTTGCTGTACAGAAGCTCTTTAATTTGATGCAGTCCCATCTGTTTATCTTTGCCTTCACTATCACTACTTTGAAAACCCTACGGCTTTTTGAGGTGAGATGAAGATAGTTATACTTGCTTCTTCTCCCTTGTCAGCTTGCGGTCTGAAAGAAGAGAAATTCAATATCTGTCTGGCTTCTGAATTCTAAAGAATTTTCAGTTTCTAGGATAGTTAAAGAATGGGGTCAAGATATGGTATGGAATCCATACCATATGCTTCTAGATCCATGGCTTCTAGAAAACCACAAGTTGAGAACAGTGGAGCAGGCCTACACATCTATAACAGAGACCTGGAATTACTTTTTGGCTTAGTCTCAGTAGAGATTTGTGATGGTATAGAGCAGAAGAGAAAGCTTAGTCTGATGGAAAAAGGAAAGAACTGGTGGTCAAGTTCTGCTGCTACATAGCTATATAGTTGTGCATGATCACATGATTTTACATGATCGTATAGTCTAAAATTTGCAAAAATAAGATATTTGAACCACTGATTCTTTCCACTCAGATTTCCCACCTGTTACACTTTCCCTAATGTCAAATGTTATTGGAACAGCAATGGGCATTTTAGACTCCAGCAAAGGAAAGATGACTTGGGAACATTCCATTTTACCTACAAATTTGAAAGCCATTTTGGATTGTTTCAAAACAACTAGACAAAGATATTAGAATTTTAATTTGGAAATATATGAAAGGTAACTTTGTAAGCTACACATTTATTAAAGAACTGAGAAAACTGGATAAAAACATAATGGAATGTGAAGCAAAAGAGATAAAGAAGAACAACAGAATTAGTGGAAACTGTGGCATTCAGAAGCAAATGGTAACAATTTTTTTTTCAGAGTATAGCAAAAACTAACTCAGAAAGAGGAAGAAATGACTCTTGGGTTGTCTGATATTCCCTTTAATTAAGATGAGTTGATCATATGGAAAAAGATTTAAACTTCCCTGATTTGACATGTGTGATTATTAATGTACTTTCAGTTTCAAATCACCCTTTCTGTCTATTCTTTGACAAATGGATCAGCCCCTTTAAATAATTTTCTTTCCCAAAAAGTTTTTTCTCTTTCCCAATCAGAACTTTGTCAGTGGAAACAGTGCAGGAAGAGACGTTTTGCTTCCTAATTCTGGTGTGCTTGGTCTGGTTCTTTCAACACATAACTTTTGCTCACAGCTTCTCTAGCAACAGACTCCTACAGTTTAGACAGTTTCTACAGCAATTTGGCTTCATATAGATCCCTCTGGCAAGTCCCTTGGGCAGTTTTGTAAAGGAGTTTCTCAGATTAGATGCTTTCCCTTTGTAACAGGGTGGTCCCCAGGAAAAGGGGGGGTTCCAGGTCCCCTGCCCCACCCAAGGGAGGATGGATCTGAGTAGCAAGGAGACACTCAAGAGATGACTGCAAGAAGGAAGGAAGGGGATCAAGGAGGAGACCTGGAAAAGGCACATGGAGAAGAGAGATGTGTGAAGAAGCTGTGCTTGCTTCTCTCTCTTGTGCTGGTACCAAGGACTTGGAGGTCATGGAATGAGACACTTGAAACAGGCGTGGGTGAGAGACTCGTGGGGAGGTTAACAATGGCAGCCTTTATCTTGATTTTGATTTTGCTCTTCTCCTTTCAATTTGCCTGGCTCTTCTACCCGAGTTGCCTTAGACTTGTGAAGAGCTTTTGGGCGGTTTTGTAAAGGAGTTCCTCAGATGAGATGCCTTCCCTTTGTAACACGGTGGTCCCGTTTGGCTGGGAATGGGTAACTTTGGGTGTTTTGTGTAAAAACTATTTTATCTATTCTTCCCTTCTCTTTGTTGCACACTAATTATAGCAAAGTTCCTTTCCATTAAAGGTCTTAAGCACTAGAATATGTACCATATGACATAACTCATTTAGAGTGGGCAGATTTGGGGGTCCTGTGGTGCCCCTTATCCTATCCTGTAACCCCATGATCAGCTCTCAAAACTTGTTAATAGAGAAACTAAACCAGGGCTAAAAACTCCAGCAGGTTCTGCTCTATGTACATCAACCATTTCTTTTTCTCTGGCGTGTTAATTTCAGTCTCTCCTATTGTCCAAGCCCACTCCACATAGAAGGGAACAGAGTTGTAACCAGCTTGTGCTTACATTCTTAGTGGTTGCAATCAGAGTCCATGTCAAGGGTCCTCTCTCCAAACTCCAGGTTAAAAAATGTCTGGGTCTTCTGCCCTCTGTTGGGCTAATTATTGTGGTCAGAAATTTGGGATATTCTAGGGCCTCCCTGGTGGCACAAAGGGTTAAGATGCAACCTATGAAGCAATCCGCAGCCATTGCAGCACAAGTTTGATCTCCAGTCAGGGAGCTACCTGCATGGCACAGCAGACCTCTTTGTCTCACCCGCTGCTCCCCTCAGTAGTATATATCAGTCAATCTGCCTGTTCTGTTCCCCACTCTGTCTCTGGTAAATCCTCTCACCCCCTGCACCTCTGGCCTGTACCCCAGTTCTTGTATGCACAAATAAATCTTTTCAAAAAATTGGGGATATTCTAGTTAGTACAGCTTGGATAACAAGCTGACTGAGACCTGAATGCAGAATTCATTACCAGAAAAATGGAGAACATGTTGTGACCATCTGAGGGAATTTTGAATCAGGTAAACACACTAATTTGTTTCTACTGTGATAATCAAAATTAAAAAAAAATCCCAACTTTCTAGAATAACATGTTTTCCATCATCAATGCTCATCTTTTTTTTTTTTTTTTTTTATTAACTTGGGAGAGGCTGAGTTTTGTAAAGTCTTTCCTCTTGAGCATGCTCAGTAGTGATCTGACTGACTCTAGTAAGGGGAGGTAGATGATGCTCAAAGACTTTTCTGCCCATATGCTTATAAGAACCTATTGGCTGGATATATAGGTTGTACCTTGCATTTGGGCTGACACCAAACCTGTGCTCTGGTCATCAAGATTTACACTAGAAGGAACTGCAATAGTTGAGAGAAAGAGATACCAATACCTCTCCACAGATCTGTGTTCGACTTCAGTTTAGTACTATTCATCATAGGTAGGCGTGACTAGTTCAGGGACTAGACCACCACAGCGAACAAACAAAACATCAAAGGAACCAAGCAACACATTGAATCACAATATGTATCCCTGGCAAACATACCCCCCTCAAGTGCCTCTTTTCATATTCATTTTATTGGTTCAAATTAGATATCAAAGAGTTCACATTAGAGAGTAACCACAGTTATACAATGAGGGTAGAAAAATCTTTCCAGTCAAAATGAGGGTAGGGAAAATTGACTGTAGTTTGTATTTCATGTGACACCAGAGACTTCACACTGGAAACAGGGAAGGGATGCTCTAGATGCAGTAAATCTTTCAGCTGTCTGCCAAATATTTTTCATCACTAGAGAACCCAAACTCAATTAAATATGTGGATATGCAATAAATATAGAAACATAAGAATTTAGTGGATTAGAAGATCCCCATTTGGATTCAAGTTCTTTTATTGGATTTTTAGCTTATTAGGAATAAACCCCATGCAGTTTTATCCCTAAACTCCTCAGAGTAAATTGCGAGAAATCATGTCATGAGTGAGATCAACTATGACACAGACAACTAGCTGGGCATTTGCTAAACAAAATTTTCCAGCCTCGTCTGCAGTTAGAGGCAGCTGGGTAGCTGAGTTCTGGCCAACAGAATGTGAGTCAAGGTGGGCCTCCCTGGTGGCGCAGGCAGTTGAGCGCCACACTGTGAAGCTGTCTGCAGCCTCTGCAGTGCGGGTTCAATCCCGGCTGGCCGACGAAAATCCCACATGGTGCAGCAGACCTCTCCTGCCACGCCCACTGCTCCCCTCATCAGAGTATTTCGTCAGTCTGCCTGTTCTGCTCCCCACTCTGTCTCCGGTGAATCCTCTCAACTTCCCGTGTATCTGGCCTGTGCCCCGGTTCTTGTATAAAAATAAATAAATCTTTAGGAAAAAAAAAAAAAGTATGTGAGTCAAGGTGATGATGTATGTCACCTCCAGGACAGGTCCATGTGATCCACCCATTCTCTTTTTGCTTCCTCTAGTTTTGTGGAGATGAACACCACAGCCTGAAAGTCATGTGTTGAAGATGAAGGAGGCACAGATAACTTTTTTCTTTTCTTTTCTTTTTTCACTCTTTTTAAGTGTTAGTTATTAATGTGGTGATTAGTGCAGAAAAAGGAGGACTGGTTTGAAAAGCTTCACCCACCCTTGATACTCAGCCTCGATACCACTGTAGAACATTGTCATGGCAGGAAGGGCACAGTGCAGGTTCTCTATGATCCAAGCAGAGTAAAGGAGGAGTCCTATAGCCCTCAGTGGATTTTGCAGGCTTTTTTTGGGATTTACCAGGTACATGGCAGGCAGAGGTGCTGGAAGGCCGGGAGGCTGGCAGGCCTCCCAGCCCCCAGCAAGTCTTCACTCTTTCTGGGCTCTCCGGCCTTCTCTCATGTTCGTTCTGCTTCTCTCGTGGTCCTGCTCACGTGGTTCCTCCTTCTGCTTCTCTCGTGGTTCTTTATGCTTCTGCTGGCGTCCCCGTGATGCCACCCTTATAAGCCCAGTCTCTCAGCACAGGTGAATCCCATCTACGCATCCCATCTCAGCACCCTACTCCAGGTGCCCGCCATCAGGCATGCATTCAGGACTGCAAGGATCCATCATCAATCCTAATGGCAGGAGGGCAGAAAAGCCTGATACCTTTTCACTTACCCTACAAACATCCAGCCAAAAGTGTCGTCTCATTTACTCTTTGGGGCAAATAGCAGAATACAGCTAACAGCAACTCCTAATGTGTCTACATTTATAACCCAGGCACAGAGAGGCTGACTAAAATTTCTTGGTTGCCAGTCTACAGGTCCATTGGTCCAATAACGTTCAGGTGACCACTTGTGGTCAGGTCAACCATGATGAGGGCATAGAGTCATGAAGCATCTGTGGTGCAGCGTCCTCTATCATGGGTAAAATCAGGCAACTTCTGAAATAAAGGGATGAGGAGATGGGAATGTGATAGGTATCCACTGCATCAGTACAGTATATTACAGAGAATGTTTAAGATTGTCTACAATGTTTACCAGATTTGAGGTGTAAGAGCAGGAACTGGCCACAGTGCAGGTTTTCTGATCCCATGCAGACCGGGTAAAGGAGGAGTCAGAGTCCTCAGTAGTTTTGCAGGTTTTTTATTTGGGGTTCACCAGGCATATGGCAGGCAGGGGTGCTGGCTGGGGGGCTGGCAGGCCTCCCAGCCCCCCAGCAAGTCTTCACTCTATCTGAGCTCTCTGGAGTTCGTTCTGCTGCTTCTCGGCTTCCGCTTCGGCTTCTACTGCTGCTGCTGCTACTGCTACTGCTACTTTGACTTCTACTGCTGCTGCTATTGCTGCTGGCATCCCCGTAACGCCGCCCTTAAAAGCACAGTCTTAACTCAGCTGAATCCCATCTACCTATGCCCACACCCTATTCCAGGTGCCCGCCATCAGGCATGCATTCAGGACTAGGATCCATCATCTATCCTGATGGCGGAAGGGCAGAAAAGCCTGATATTTTCTTTACCCTACATGAGGCAATGGGAAAATGTACCATTAACAAATTTGTGTATATGAGATTCTTTAAAGGGATTTCCTATCTTGAGTATTCAAAGATGCTCTAATTTATTGAATAGTCTACATAGCAAGTGCTGCTCTTGAGAAGGAATATACAGTTGACTTGGTGAGTTGGTGGGGGTTTTAAGTTTATTTATTTGTATTCCCTTTTGTTTTTATTCCTTTCCCCTCTATTTAGATTAGGAGAAAACTGCAGCTACATTTAGAATTATATGATTTGGCAGCTGATGTTTCTATATTTTTCTGCTAGTGAATGAGCTTTCAATATTTGAATTTTTGCAAATGTAAATTAAAACTTACTAGTACTTTATGAATACATACACTTGGTAAATTAGTCAGCATGGCATGCAGTGCAAAAGTTTTATAATCACAAACAAAAACAAAAACAGCCAGACTGCTTTCTTCTCTGCTAGTAAGTTTATAATAAATCAAACTTTAAAGCTCAACATAAGCTTGTATATTCTTTCATAAAAAATGCCAACTGGACTACAGTGGCAATACCTGATGGGGGTATCCAAATGTTACCTCAATTAAAAATAAATAAATTTTTAAAAATACCAAACTGGGATTTGTAAGTTACATGCTTCAATAGCTACTAATTGTCTGTTACTCTATATAGGTCACGACTGCACTGATTTTAGTTTTCCCATTTGTAAAATAAACTGATGAAAATAGATGTCTAATGGATGTTCCAACTTCAGAAATCTCACGGCACTAATTACAAATCTCAGAGAAGGTGGGTAAGTAGTTATTTACAAGACCAACACTTACTAGAAGGGCAGGGGAACAGAAATAGTAAAGAATATTGAACAACAAAACAAACTGTTAACAAAGCAAATCTCAGTTGTCAGAAGTTACTGCTGTTGGGGAGAACAGTACCTTAACAGAATCAAGGGAGAAGGGTCAAGAAGGATTATATGGTGGATGGCGGGAAGATCTGGGTTCAAGGGGATTTTAACAGGTATTTCAAGGTAGGGAACAGACTGGGATAGGGAAAATTTGTGAAATAATAGCTTAGGGTTGGTGAATATAGGGAGGCAAGAATCTTGGAGTCAGATGAATAAACTGTGCTTTGATAAAGGGCATGATTGTCGTCTCAGATAAGCTGATTTGCAGGGATTTCCTGAAGCAAACAGTGAAGTTATTGATTGGTTTATGGTTTTCTGGGCAAAATTTCCTGGAACAAATAACTAAGTCATGTTGACACAGGTGGTCTCAGTTCTTTGGCCTTCTAGCTATGTCTTATTAATGCAGGTGGCAGAGTTCTCATGAACTTTTTATTGATGCATAACAAAATGACCTATAGCAGAAAAATCGTTGATGAAGTTCTGCTCCTGGCCTTTCTTCAGTATTCTTGACTACTCATATAGTGAATTTCCTACTTGATATCTCCTCTTGGGATGTATTATATATATTTTGAATTAGAAATGAAATAAACAAATTCCGAAGAGAACTCCCTCCAGTAGTCTCCATTTCAGTAAACAGCTCTATCATCTATGCAGTTAAATAAAACACCAAGGAGCCTTCTTTTTTATTATTTTTTTTATTTTTTTAGGAGCCCCTCTTTTTTGTCATACCCTGACAGGTCATAACAAGTCCTATGGGTCGGACCTCCAAAATATACCAAATCCAACCACTTAACGCCTTCCGTGTTGAAACTCTAGTTCAAACGATTATTATCTTTTGCCCAAGCACAGAGTCATTTTATTATAAATGCCACATTGTTCTTTTGCTTTTTCTAGATTATGCACACTTATTCCATGTCAGGTTCTTATATTAGTCTCTTCACTCTCTATCTAGATCATTATTCATCCAGATCTTCCCATTGCTCCTTCTCATTGTTGAGATCCATCACTGAGATCTCAATGCTGAATCATCTAACTAAAGTTGGCCTCTTTCTCCCTAACCACTGATTCCTTATTTTATTTATTTTATAGTAGTTGGCAATTTCTGAAACATTACCTATACTTCGTTTCCTTGTTTCCTGTGTATCTTCCCATTGAATATAAATTCCATTAAGGTAGAAAACCTACCTACTATGTACCAAGGTCCAGTGTTCCCAAAGCCTTGAACAGTACTGGCACAGAGTAGATTCTCAAGAAATAACTGTGAAATGGTTTGTGAAGAAATTTTCAGCAAAAAAAAAAAAAGAATGGGTGGACATATGGATTACTGCATTATTTTAAAAGTAAGACCCATTAATGGTACTATAGTCAAAGATGCTAAATACATAACACATCGTCATTAATGGCTTCATGTGCATACTTCAGCACCTACAGTAACTAATTTATGAAATAGATTCATTTCATCCAGTGAATCTCAATATTAAGTAATGAAATTCTTTTTATGATAAAATTGAGTATTATTAGATTCATAATAGATATATTTATTGGATTATAGCCATGCATGGTTTAACAATGGGGATATATTCTGAGAAATACATCGTGAGGCAATTTAGTTAAAGAGGCAGGAAAAGGGAGAATACAGTTAGGGATAAGAGGTTCAGGAAACATCTGAATGTTTAAGTAGCTCAAAGCCAAGAAAAAAACATGAGAAAAGGTTGGCTTAAAACTTAAAAAAATTTCTGACTTAACAGAATTTATTTATTTATTTATGCAGAAGATAATTGTTAAAATAACTTTCTGGATTTTGTAAATATATTTCAAATGATATTTCTTTATTTCATAATAGCGAAACTATTTTAGTGATCAAAAGCAAATATACTTATTTTTACACACCTCTACTCAAGCAACTTAAAGGGAGTTGGTGTTCAGTTGATGATGGGGAGGGACTCACTCAGGCAGTTCTCTGGGAAGTAACAGCTATGGAATAATGTCACTGAGTTCAGCAAGTTGAGGAAAGCATAGTGTCACAGTACAGGAAAGCAAAGGCTAGTGAAGGGCTGGGACACAAGCGTAAAAAAGAGGCTAAAGAAAATGAAGGAGAAATCAGGAAGCCAGTTCACTTTATATGAACTTCAACAGATAGACAAACTCTTTTAAAATCAAATACCTTTTGTTAAAATTAGGCCAAAAATACCTTGAAAAAATACTAATGGAGTACCTACTACCTTCCAGGCATTGAAGTGGCAATGAGAATGTAAATATTGACTCAAAAAGAAAAGCTACAGTTCTTGTTCTTCAAGCTCTTTTTTTTTTTTTTTAAAGATGTATTTATTTATACAAGCACTGGGTACAGTCAGAAGCGCGGGAGGGTAAGAGAATTCACCAGAGTCAGAGCGGAGAGCAGAGCAGGCAGACCAATGAAGTACACTGCTGAGGGGAGCAGTGGGCAGCAGGAGAGGTCTGCGCGCCATGTGGGACCCTCACCAGGAGGCCGGGGATCAAACCGGTGCTGCAGAGGCTGCGGGCAGCTTCACAACCCAGAGCTCAACCGCTGCGCCACCAGGGAGGCCCTCTTTTTTTCTTTTTTTTTTAAGATTTTATTTATTTATATAAGAACCAGGGTACAGGCCGGATATGCGGGAGGGTGAGAGGATTCACCAGAGACAGAGTGGGGAACAGAACAGGCAGACTGGCTAAATACACTGCTGAGGGGAGCAGCAGGCGAGACAGGAGAGGTGTGCTTCACCATGTGGGATTCTCGTCGGCTGGCCAGTCAGGATCGAACCCGCGCTACAGAGGCTGTGGACAGCTTCACAGTGCTTCGCTCAACCGCCTGCGCCACCAGGGAGGCCCTCAAGTTCTTTTTTTTAAGTGACAATACAGATGAGACCTCAACAGGGTTCAAATCACCTAAGGCTGCATGTTTCTACCTCTGGGGTTTGACCTTTATTCTGAGAACAATGAGAAACTGTCAAAGGATTAAAGCAGCTGAATGATTAAATGATTAGATTTTCATTTTACAAAGAATAATGAGCTGTTGGTATTTAGAGGATGATCATGGGTGAGAGATTGGTAGTGGCTGTTATAGGCAAAGAAACTAGGAAAACGTTTGTTTAGAAGGATGCTGCTATAAGCCAAGCGAGGAGATGATGGCAGACATAACTTAAAGAACTACACAGGAGATGAAGATACTCAGATGGAAATGCCAGCAGCAAGGAATGGACAAAATCCAGTGGATGGTGTGATGAAAAGAATAGTTAAGAAAAGGGTGTGGGGGGTCAAGGTTGAAAATTCATTTGGCAGAGAGAAGATAAAAAGTCATCAAAAGAACCTTGACTCTTTTTTATTTTTGAATTTTTACATTTTGTAGGGTTTTTAATATAACATTTATGCCAAAACAGTAATTTATTTTATTTTATTATTATTTAAATATTTTATTTTATATAATTCTTACAACTTCTTTCATCTTTGCATAATGTATGCATTTTCATTTTGGTTATATTCCCCATACAATTGCACCTCCCCCCTTATTTTAACTCTAGTCCTTCCTTTCCCCACCCCTTTCTCCCCCCGCCCCGTAGTGTGTCTCTGGTTTATAGTTGCTTGTTTGTTTTGATTTTTACTTTGTATTGATTAGCGTTTTTCCTGGTCTCTTATTTAGGTTTTCTAAATTCCTGCTATGAGTGAGACCATCTGGTATTTTTCTTTTTCTTTCTGACTTATTTCGCTGAGCATGAGCCCTTATAGCTCCATCCATGTTGCTGCAAACTGCATGTGTTTATCTTTTTTGATTGCTGAGTAATATTCCATTGTGTATATGTAACACATCTTCTTGATCCAGTCATCTATTTTTGGGCATTTGGGTTGCTTCCATAGCTTAGCTATTGTAAATAGTGCTGCTATAAGCATAGGGGTGCAGGTGCCCTTTGGAATTACTATTTCTGTGTCCTTTGGGTAAATAGCTAGGAGTGGAATTCCTGGATCATATGGAAGCTCTATGCCAAAACAGTAAATTAAAAGAAACCTCTAGTTTATTAATTTCTTTAAAAAATTTTACTATTGTAAATTGTGCTTGTACTTAGAAATCAGGAAATAGAGAGTACTTTCCTTTACTTGATCTTAGCCAAAAGGCTGAGAAGTGATTAGAGAGGACTTTCCTTAATGATAAACTTCCTTATCATCTATTTAAGATTTTAAAATAAATTAATTCATATATTGAACAAAAGAACTGGTAAGATACTTTTATGTGTGTGCTCCAGATACACTCTTATGTGGCTGACAAAAGCATCATTCTCCAATTTTAAAGGAATGTTCTGAATGTGAAGTCATAGGTAGTAGCAATGAGGCCATCCATGTTGGTTTTATATAGACAAAATCTAAATTATTCATATTAGAAATGTTCTAACCACAACTTTTTCTAATTATCATGTTCCCCAAAAGTACTCTTGAATTAAAAAAATAATTACAGTCAACTCTGTCACAAGGCAGTTTTGGTAGACTCTTTTTTTTTTATTATTTTATTTTTATATTCCCCATACAATTGCAACCCCCTTATTTTGACCCCAATCCCTCCTTTCCCTGCCCCCTAGCCCCCATAGTGTGGGTAGACTCTTTTTTAAAAAAAATTTACTTTTCTTTCCAAAGCAAAATAAGAAAGCAGATCTTTCTACTTCATCCATAGGTATAGAAAAAAATGATCATTATTATTAATTCCAAGTGAGCTTTATATATATACACATACATATATATATGATTTTATATATGTATGTATGCCAAGGTATGGTAATTATAAAGCTTTATATAAATATATGTATATATGCCAAGATATGGTAATTTAAACCTGTATTTGTATCCAGTTACATTTTCAGCATAATTCTGTATTTCATTAATTATTTCAATTGGTATTTATAATGCAAGGACTTTGTAAGCCTCTGCTCATTAAAAAGACTTGCAATTTACTCCTAAGAATGCAAAAACAGGGCCTCCCTGGTGGCACCAGGGGTTAAAGAACCGCACTATGAGGCAATCCGCAGCCTCTGCAGCATGAATTCGATCCCTGGCCAGCCAGGGAGCAACCCAAATGGTGCAGCAGATGTCTCCTGACTTGCCCACTGCTCCCCTCAGCAGTGTACTTTGATCAATCTGCCTATTCTGTTCCCCACTCTGTCTCTGGTGAGTCCTCTCACCCCCCACATCTCTGGCCTGTATCCCAGCTCTTGTATGCATAAATAAATAAATCCTTAAAAAAAATGCAGAAACACTGATTTTAAGTGACTCATGCCCTCCTATGTTCATTGCAGTACTATTTACAATAACCAAACTATGCAAACAACTTAAGTGCCCAAAGACAGATGGACACTTAGGGTACTCTAATTAAAGAGTACTTTTGGGGAACATGATTAGGAAGATGTTGCATACATACAAAATTGAATACTATTCTCTTATGAAAAAGATAAACTCTTGCCATTTAAAACAATATGGGTGAAACTGAAGGGATTATGCTAGATGAAGGAAGTCATAAAGAGAAAGACAAATATCAATGGTACCACTGAGATACAAAATAAAAGGTTAGATAAAACCAAACCAACAACAACCCCCAGAAATGTAATTGTAGAACTGAGGCTACTACAAGGGAGTGAAAGGGGAGAGAGCAAAATTAGGAGGGACACAGTGGACTATGATGAAGGACTATGGGTGCCTGGTAGTAGGTGTGGTGTGGTAACATACACTGAAAGAGTGTGATCCTATAACTCTAAATCATATACCATGTTGTAAACCAATGTTATGTTAGTAAAAAATTAATTAATTTTCTAAATAAACATTCATAGATATAAAAGTTCATTATGTAGTTAATGTGTAGGCAAAACACTGAGGTAACAGTGAAGTGAAATTCATAAGCTTGATAATAAAGTTCTGGTTAATTATTAATTTATAAAACTTTTAAGAAATAGCACCTTTAAAAGACAAAAGCTTATTGCCTGAGGAAGTGCTGATTAGGATCTAATTGATTGCATTTATGAAGTTAGAAATTAATAAGCATAGAAAAATAAGATAATAAAGGCAGGCCAGGTCCCAAGTATTTGGTGTCTCAGTCTTTGGAGGGTAAGAGCCTACACACATTAACTCAATCTGTGGGCAGATTATTGGGCAGCTCTAGAATCTCCTATGGGAGGAAAGCCATGAGAAGTTAGGAACCTATCTCGAAACCCATTTGAGAATAAGCACATAATTTACACTTCAAGTTCACTGTTACATAAGTTGCTTTCCAGGTGCTGAAAGATTTGGGTGCAACGAGGTCTCTCAAACCATCCCTTGGTGCTCTAATAGGCCTACATATCTCATAATATCTCGGGGGCACTGGGAATTAGAGGATTGTGCCTTGATTTCTAATACTATATTAGCTACTGGCATGGCATTTTCATAAAATCATTCAATGTTTCAGAGTTTTGGTTTGCTCATCTGTAAATGATTATAAAAATATCTTGATCTGTGTTATTTAGATCAGGATTGAATGTATAGAAATGCCTTGTACATAGAAAGCAATGATTAAATGCTCGTAATTACTATGAAAGCTTAAGGCATTAAATCAACAATTTTGTCATATCCCAAACTTCTTTACCATTGTATTCGCTTTCTATTGCTACTGTAACAAGTTACCACAAACTCACCAACTTAAAACAATATAAAAATATTATCTTACAGTCACAGAGGTCAAAGTCTGAAAAGGATTGGCAACTGGGCTAATATCCTGTCTGTTGAGTATTCTTCTGAAACTGTAGGGGGAGGATTGTTTCCTTGTTTGTGACCCCCAGCTGGTAATTACAATATGTGAACCTCAGCTTCTGTCATCACATCATCTTTTCTGATTCTACATGTCTGTCTGTCTCTTAGAAGGACCCTTTTGATTACATTGGGTTTATGGGATAATGCCAGGTAATCTTGTAATCATCCCTTATCAGGACCCTTAATTTAACCCAATCGCAAATTCCCTTTGCCATGTAAGGTTATATATTCACAGGTGGTTAGTCAGAGTTCTCCAGAGAAACAGAATCAATAATATATATATATAAATGGCAAATATATCTGCTATTTATTATGAGAAATTGACTCACATGAATATGGAGATCAGTACATCCAACATCTGCAGTATGCAACACCAAGTTCAAGGCTCAGCAGCACGGATGGAGCAGATAAAGTCCAAAGAGAATTCTCTCTTGCTCAGAAAGGCTAGACTTTTTGTTCTATTCAGTCCTTCAAGTGTTTGGATGAGGACCACCTACATAATGGAAGGCAAAGAACATCCTATTTGACTCATAAAATTAACCATCATAACATGTTTCAGGGATTAGGACAAAGATATCTTTTGGCTTACTTTGGTTTATCTTTAGGTCAAAGAAATCTTTGTGGGGGGCGGGGGAGGCGATTGATCTGTTCACCAAAATATCCACCTCTTTTTATCCGTATATTGAGTTCTATGTTAATCATTAAATCTATAAAAACTAGTTAGCCTGGCTTTTGCTTTTAAGGAACACACATTTAGTGGAGAGGACACACAAATTGATAAGTACAACACACTAGAGTAGGTGTAATGATAGAGTTATGCGCAGTGTGCCATGGAAATACAGAAGGAGAAGCAAGTAATTCAGCTTGGGGGTGGGAAGTGCAGGTGGAGAAGGTGGGGGTGACAAAGAAAGCTTTCTAGAGGGGATGATGCTTAAGTTGAATTCAAAGGATATGTGGGAGTTAAAAAGGGAAAAAGACATTGCAGGAAGAGGAATCAACCTGAGCACAGAGAAGTAACTACTCCAAGTGTGATTCTGCACTCACTTTCTCATGTAAATTAACTTTACTTGAAAGTTTTTTTTTTTTTTTCATGTAAGGAAAGAATATGTTGACCAGAGAACTCAAGTGGCTAGTTTTCTTGACAATAACATTTCTCAGTGTAATGACTAAATTGGCATTCAGGTATGTATCATTCTTTATAGTGTGGTAGGTATTCTTGGCTACTGACAAAAGCACTATCTTGGCCTTAGTTCTTCCAAACAGAAATGCAATTTTGTTCAGAGATTTGGCATAACACATTGAGGGGAAGTGGGTCCTCCCTTAGCCCAAGGGGAAAAATTATGAGTGTACTAATTTAATGGACATATCCATTCCTTTTTGTGGTGACTGGCCTAAGGAGACATGGTTGTGGCCATTGAGACAAAAGAAAAAAAAAGAGAAGTTGACTGGGAAGCTTTCAGAAAATATTTTTTCTTCCTGATAAAAAAGGTGATATATAAAAAGAAGCTCTCAACCCTTCTTTCTTGCTTGCCCTTTGACTTGATTGAGAATATGTTTGGAGGTGAGGTAGCTATTTTATTTCTATGAGGAAAACAGTATGATATGCTGAGCATGAGAGCAGAAAATAGTCACTAGCCTTAGTGACATAATTAAACAGCTGGAGCAATGGTGCTGGGTAGAGATCAGTGAACATATGTTGGTGCCCTCAAAGGTTATGTGCAAAATAACCAAGACTGTATAATAATCAACATTATTTATGAGTATTTCTTTGTTTTTTAATTAAGTTAGCATTGGTTTACAACACTTGTATAGGTACCAGGACTACATTTTCTTTTTTTTTTTTTTTAATTGTTGTTGACTATTTTCTTTTTTTTTTTTTTTTTTAAGATTTATTTATTTATTTATTTATACAAGCACTGGGTACAGTCAGAAGCGCAGGAGGGTGAGAGAATTCACCAGAGCCAGAGCGGGGAGCAGAGCAGGCAGAAGAACCGAAGTGCACTGCTGAGGGGAGCAGCGGGCGGCAGGAGAGGTCTGCGTGCCATGTGGGACCCTCCTCCAGTGGCGGGGGAGCAGCCGGGGATCGAACCGGCGCTGCAGAGGCTGCGGGCAGCTTCGCAACCCAGCGCTCAACCGCTGCGCCAAAGGGGAGGCCCAAGGACTACATTTTCTTATCACCCCCATTACTACATGTCTACCTCCAAACAATGTCTACCAACAAACAATTTCTACCCATTCTCTTTTCCCTCCTTCCCCTCTGATAACCACCATTGTTTTTTTTTTTTCTTTATATTCTACAAATGAGTGAAATTACATAGTATTTCTCACCTTATTTCACTTGGCAGAATCCCTCTAAAGTCCATGGGTGTTGATGCAAATGGCAAGATTTCATCTTTTTTTTATGGCTGAGTAGTATTTCATTGTGTAAATATACCACATCTTCCTTATCAATTCTTCTGCTGCATCTTGGCTATTGTGAATAGTTCTGCCACAAACATAAGGGTGTATATGTCTTTTTTAGTTAGTTATTTAGTTATTATTTAGTTATTAGTTACTAGTTAGTTATTAGTTATTAGTTACTAGTTATTAGTTATTTAGTTAGTTATTCAGTTATTTCTCACCTTATTTCACTTGGCAGAATCCCTCTAAAGTCCATGGATGTTGATGCAAATGGCAAGATTTCATCTTTTTTTTTTATGGCTGAGTAGTATTTCATTGTGTAAATATACCACATCTTTCTTATCAATTCTTCTGCTGTATCTTGGCTATTGTGAATAGTTCTGCAATAAACATAAGGGTATATATGTCTTTTTTAGTTAGTGTTTTCATATTTTTGGGTAAATACCCAAAAATGGAATTACTGGATCATATGGTAGGTCTATTTTCAAATTTTTGAGGAACCTCTGGCCTGCTTTTTATAATGGTTGTACCAGTTTACACGGGGCAAGATTTCCTTTTTCTCCACATCCTTGCCAACATTTGCTATTTCTTCACTTTCATATAATAAGGGGAGAATCTGTCTTTTTATCTTATCATAGCCTGGAATGTTAGACTACAGGAGGTTGTAGGGAAAAGAAAGAAAAATTCTTCTTTTGAAAGGTACATTTATTTTAAACAATTTCTAAATTTTTCTATAACCTCCTAAACTTTGAACTTTGAAATCAAGAAAAATCACTTCATCTAATAATACTTTATCTCTTTTTGTCCTCCAATTTTTGGAATGTGTTTGTTCCAGTAAGGTCTCAGGTACTAAGGAAACTCTTTTACTTACAGTTTTATTTTGCACTTAACTATTTTTTTAAAAAAGATTTCAACTATGCACAAAATTGTTATTAAAGCATAGAAATATGTTTAAATTTAGAAACTGACTTATTTTCCTTTAAATTCTGATTCATATTTACATGTGACATTCCCTGAGATTCTCTAAAAAGCATAAAGTATATACATATACCTCTTAAATCATGAATTTCATTGTTTTGAGTATAATATTAATAAATAGTTAATAAATAAAGAACCAGAGAATACATCTAAAATGAATATTCCATTCAATAACATTTGTGTTTTTTTAAATTATTTTTTTATTAAAGTGCAGTAAATGTTCTGGCCCATTATTGTACTTCTTGCATTATATATTGATTTATAGCACATTGAAGTAGCAATTATTCTCACTGCTGCAAAGTGCTTGTGCTCTGCTCACTCAACATGCAAACATTTCAAATTACAGTACATTAAGATGTCAATGACGAAAGGGAACATTCTAAAAATAAAATGATTTTTAAGCATTTTATAAAATGACTAACTCCTCCTTTACCAGTGAGCATATACTTCACATTCCTTCAAATACTTCTTACAAACCCCATAAGCCAAAGAGACATACTTCTAATTATTTTGTAGTGATGGGTTAGTATGGTTAGCATCAAGAAATAGTGTCTCCCTGATTATTTAACATTTATTCATCAGATAATTAGACTTGTTTTTCAGGCAAGGCTGACCTGGGCTATGTATAAAGATAAACTAATATATACTTTGTTGACCATCCCAATGACTTACTTTACCACTTTCAGGTAAGACAGTATGTTGATCTGATAGACTTACATTCTTGGATCTCATTCATGGAATACAGGAAATGTTCAAAAGTACTTTTTCTATGGGACAATAAAATTATTTGCTACTTTTTTTTGCCACTATCACAGCCTTGGAAAATTTCTCTGACGTGCTTATTTTTTTTTAATTTATGCATACAAGAGCTAGGGTGTAGACATGTTGGCCAGAGCTGGGGGAGGGGGTGAGAGGATTCACCAAAGACAGAACGGGGAGCAGAACAGGCGGACTGACTGAAATACACTGATGAGGAGAGCAGTGGGTAAGACAGGAGAAGTCTGCTGCACCATGTGGGTTAGCTCCCTGGCAGGGGATTGAACTTGTGCTGCAGTGGCTGCCAATAACTTCATAGTGCTGAGACTTAATCCTTTGCACCACCAGGGAGGCCCAAGCCAGGAATTTCTGAAGTCAGAATTTGATAAAAATTTGTTTTTTCTGGTTTGATAAAATACTCCCTTTTGTGGATAGCTTATGAAATAGTTTGATCTTTAGTGTGTCCAACCTTTTGGATTGCCTTACTCAAAGAAGAGCTTTATTAGTTTATTATTTCAACTAATATTTATCAAGTGTTGGCAGTGGGATGAATGTTAGAGATCAGTGACCAAGATAAAACCCATTCTTTGTTCTTTTAGTCTACAGAGAAAGGGATGGGGATGAGGCAATATATAAGGGAAAGGAAACAGCCAGTATTAACTGAGGGGTGTCTCTGTGCTAGTTACTGTAATGACTACAGTCCACATATAGTCTGTAGGGTAAGGAAAAATGTCAGGCTTTTCTGCCCTCCCGCCATCAGGATAGATGATGGATCCTTGCGGTCCTGAATGCATGCCTGATGGCGGGCACCTGGAGTAGGGTGTGGGCATAGGTAGATGGAATTCACCTGGGCTGAGACTGCTTTTAAGGGCGGAGTCACAGGGACGCCAGTAGAAGCGGAGGAGAAGCGGAAAGGAGAAGCCAAAAGAGAAGCAGAGAGAGAAGCAAAGAAGCAGAAAGCAGAAGCAGAGGTCACCGGAGAGCCCAGATAGAGTGAGGATTGGCTGTACACAGCACCCTTGCCTGCTGTGTACCAGGTAAATTCCAATAAAAGACCTGCAAAAACCACTGAGGGCTCCAGGACTCCTCCTTAATCCGGTCTGTTGAATCAGAAAATCTGGGCTGTGTCCATTCCTGCCTCTTACGTCACATTTAAAACTCACAGAAACCCTATTGGAAGGTATTTTGACAATTCTCCACATTTTACAGATGAGGAGCTGGAACTTAGAGGAATATCTATTTTATTTGTTCAAAGCTGAAGCAAATGGGTCATCATCTTAAAATAAACCAACCACAGAGGCCTCTGGTATACAGATCAAACATACATATATAATTATTCTATATTCTATATTCTACATGTTATTATGCATTTACAATATTTGTATATATTGTGTATATGTAATATACATAGTTGGAAAAGTTGACAACTTACAAACAAATGGAAGATTTCAGTAAAGATGGCAATTAAAAAAAATAAAAACAAATGAAATGGTAGAAATGAAAAATATATTTTATGGGCTTAATGTAGTCTGAACAAAGCACAGAAAATGGACACTGAACTTGAAGATATTTGGGTCAATAGACATTACCCCAACTAAAACAGAAAGAGAAAAAAGAGACATTAAAATAAGAACAGACTATAATATCTAAAACCTTTGGAATAATTCTAATGATTTAAAACATATAGCTAGAGCCTAAGGAGATATGAAGAGGAAGGAGTTTCCAATTACTTTCCAGAATTTTAAAAAGACATCAAAACACAGGTCCAAGAAGCTCAGTAAACAAGTAAAATACAGAAACACATGTATGTATTATAGTCAAACTACATCATCTTTAAAAGTGCTGAAAGAAAAACAAGTCAACCTACAATACATCCAAATGACCCCTTAAAAAGAAATAAGGACATTTTCAGCATAACAATAGAGTTTGCTGACAGCTTACCTAAATTACAAGAAATGCTAAAAGAAATTCTTTCGTTAAAGGGAGATGATATCAGATAAATTCTAAGCCAGATCAGTAGGAATGAATAAAAACCACCAGAAGATCTCATTTATCTTTTCTATGTTTTTGTATCATAGATGTTTTTATTTCATAGATTTACATATATATGTATATTAGGTATATATATTAGGTTATATATATTTCATATATGCATAGATAACTAGGCAGAAAAACATATAGATAGATATTCTGTAACCTGCAAAACATTACAGAAAAGAGTGTCCTATTTATAAAGGCAAGGGAAAAAAAAAACAAAACACAGAGTAGTTCCCAGAACACTACTATTGAGTTGTTATGAATGCAATTTGGGTGTCAGCAGGAATACTCTCACCCTGGAATTCCGAGTCCAGATATGATTGGCTCAATACCCCCATTCAAATGCCCTGGATTCTTGTTTTATTCTCTGCATGTTTGTGTCTATTCCTTTATCTCTGCTGTGACTGAGAAAAGCTGGGGCATAGCCCCTACTTTCTGTTCCCTTCTATCAACCCACAGGTACCTTGTATTAAAACTGTATCAAGCAGCAGAAAGTTTACTGTCTACAAATTCCATTTCAAACAACTGAAAATTGTTTGCAGCACATTCCTGTTCTAAATATTCCTTGTTCATCACTGTCAAGGTTTTCTCACTGGCTGCTTCACCCAACCACCACTTCATTCACCCCCAGCCCCCACCATCACAATAAGCTTCTCTCTGTGTCCTGCACCCTTCTGATCTTTTTTCTCTTCTGTTCTCACTCAAGAACTAAATCAAAATTTTATCACATTCTCATGTAAAGAAGCATAGCTATTCCTGTCATTCCTTTGACTCCTGTCAAGTCTCATCTTTTTCTCGAGCTTTTTCATTTAACTCTAGGGGCCATGCTTACGTTGTACTCCATGTAAATTGGTCCCCCTAGAGCTATGCAGCACACAGCTATGCAGCTATGCAAACCTACGTCGACTTCATGTATTTTCCTGATCAAAAACTACTCTGGTATTAGCTATTATGCTAATAATCTCCCACCTTTATTACATAAAAGCTACAAAAACTTCTTTACATAAAAGTTACAAAAACTTTTTAGGAGGTTGGAAAAATATCAAATACATGGAAAGTTATGCTATGTGCTTGTATGAAAAGTCTAACACTACAAAAATTTCTACTCTTTTCAAATTGCTCCTAAGTGTCATTCATTCTAATTAAGGTATCAACAGGTTTTCTACGTTATTTGGTATATGATAATTTTATAAGACATTTGGATAATTGAACAGGAGTGAAAATAAAATTTTTAATTAATTAATTTTAATTAAGACACAAACACCAAATTTTTAATTGAGGTAATATTTGAATACCCCCATCAGGTACTACCAATGTAGTGAACTCACCAACAAATCACCCATAGTCCACCACCACAGTCCGTTGTGCTTCCTTCCCTCCTCCACTGCTGGAAAAGAAATCTTTTGGGAAAAATTTGGTAACAAATATTAGATCCTATAAATGATCACTAACACATGTAACTGTCATCTACATAGCTACCCAATTAGCTAGTTTCCCACCTAGTTATCTTTGATCTACCTTTCATGAACATCTGAAGCATCTCTTCTTTTTTCAAACTTAAAAAATTTATATATTTACATCTTTTCTTTCAATAGCATTTTCCCCTTCTTCGGTTTCTGGGCATCATCCCCCCTATGCATCCCATATGGTTTTCTTTGGAGCTGCCAATTATAGGACCCTAGTCCCTGATCTAAAGGTGGACATGTAATGTAGGCAGGATCTATCAAAGTAAACTACCTGCTTGGCCATAATGATTGGTCTGGGGCTAGGTAAATGACTCATGTCACTCAAGATTTCTTCCTGGAAATTTTCAAAATGGAGCTGAGAAAATATATCCTTTTCTGGGAAAGATAACTGGGATGATATAAGCACAAAGCTGCTGGCAGATATGCTTTCTGCCAGTGGAAAAAGCCCATCTGTTATAAGAGAGGAGGGAAGCCAAGCAGAAGCAATTAGACATGAGAGATAGAATGAGCAAGAGAGAAAATTGTGGGGGTTTTGAGTCTCGGTTTACAATTTTTGAAACTCCAGGATCTACCTGGTTTCTGAAATTCTCAATGTTTTCCTAGTGTGTTTCTACTAATATAGACTTGAGGTGCAGACAGTAATATAACTACAGAGAATTTTCACATTATTCTGCCAAGCTCTCTCCTGTAACCGAAGGAAGAAAAGGAAGAGATGCCATACTTATTGTTCAGGATCCTAGACATGTTTAGGGTTATGATATATTCTTGGATGAGTTCACTTTAGCTAATGGTTGTTATGGTAGTGATAGGAATATTAATATGTATAATAGTAGTAGCAGCAATTGCTCTGCTCCTGGTTGTGCCAGATGGTGCCCGGGAGTCCTAAGTTTCTTCAGGTATCATTTGCATATTTGCATGGGGTTCAGCAGGGAAAGTAAATGGTATAGAAACTATAATTGGTTATGGAATAACAGGATCTGAAGAAATGGTTAAGTTACTTTATGCCAACTCTGACAGAGTTTGACCAAGGGCAGACTTCTCCAAAGTTTTCCTTTTCTAGGAAATAAGATTACACTTGTGTGAGGAAAACTTAGACAGTCTCCATCTTGCTTTAATTTATCTGGCTCTTAATTGTGTATTTCTTTGAGTTTTCCTCCAAGTTACCCAAGGATGATAAAATCTTCTAAGTGTACCACATCACTGAGGCAGTTCAGGATTTCCATCCTAACTCCTCCTGGAATGTTTTCTTCTATCATTTACTTTTATTCATGTCACCTATATGTATTTTCTTTCCTGTCATTAAGGGAGTTTGTGCAACTGTAACTGTCTTCTGTTAACTGTCTTGGACAGTTCCACTTATTCCACTGTTCATCCATTTATTCAAATCAATGTAATGTAGTAAGTACCTACTATGGGCCAATCATTGTGTCAATTGAATCCCAGCTTTTAGTCTGTAGCAAGACAGATATAGAAATTACTTAATAAATAATTGCTAAGCCCAGCCCATTTAGCAAGGTTTGATATGGTTGGGTAGGCAAACTTTTCTCAGTATTTCAGTGTTTCCTGCCCCTTCTTTCCCATGTTACATAGCCAATTCCCTTCTAGGGATATAGCTGGGAACATTTAGTTTGATTTTCTAGTCACAGGCAAATTCTAGGAACTCCTAACCTCCTTATTTCCCTGTTAACAAAGGAGGGAAAGAACTGTCCACAACTTTAATACATTAATGTCTTCTTCTGTAGGTATTGCACTACCAAAGCCCCTGGCCATATTTCCAAAGAACCTGGCTTTCTTTAGGCAAGGATAGGAAATGGAAAAATTCCATATCCCTGATTTTGTAAATAGTTCATACTGCTTTACCAAAGATGGTGATGGAAGGGCAGTAGAAGACAGGTAAAGACAAGTGTTTGAATGACTTCACTGTTGGCTATTTGGACAATATAATTCCATACAATAAATTTGCTCTCATAACAAAATAGAATTCAATGTTCATTTATACTATTACTTGTATTATCAGATTAGAGTGACAGAAATTTGTAGAATTGAGACTACTAGAGGGCAATGATGGTGGACCAGGAGCAAAGGGAGCAAGGAGCCCAGTAAACTTAGGTGGAGGATATGGGTGCTTTGGTGGTGGCTGTGGTATGATAATATATTGTGTAGAACCTATACTCATAAATCATATACAATGTTATAAACCAATGTTACCTCAATTAAAAAAAATTAAAAATGAAAAAAGAGGGGCCTCCCTCTTGGTGCAAGGGGTTAAGACACAGCTCTATGAAGTTATCCACAGCCACTGCAGCACGAGTTCAATCCCCAGCCAGGGAGCTACCCACATGGCCCAGCAGACCTCTCCTGACTCGCCTGCTGCTCCCCTCAGCAGTGTGTTTCAGTCATTCTGCCTGTTCTGTGCCCCACTTTATTTCTGGTGTATCCTCTCACCCCCCACACCCCTGGGCTATACCACAGTTCTTGTCTGCATAAATAAATAAAACTTTTTAAAAAAATAAAATGTGACAAACCTTTCAATTTTGCTTTTATATAATTTACTTTTATCTTATACTTCACTTAACATCTTAAAATATTACCTACGAGTGGCATGCAGGCTTTAATTACTATTTAATTTTACTACTCAAATGTATATTCTATTAGCTTATGGACTATATAGTAATGCAAAGTTGTGATTGATTCAAAAGTATGTTTTTTTAAAAATAAAATTAGTGTATGCTTATTGTACAAACAGGAAAAGCTGAGAAGAAGACATTACCCATTCTTTTCAATTCTACTTCCCAGTCACACCAGTTTGTATGTGTTACTTTGGATGTTTAAGCATGTACAAGTTATTCCCACAAATCTCACAAATGAACTTATGCTTACACACACACATAGTCTTTTCCACTTAGCCATCAGTCCATGTCACATGGATATTTCATAGTATGAATTCACTATAATATATTTAACTCCATTAGCTATTGAAATACTATTAGAATAATTTTAGATGTTCACCCTTACAAACACTCCATAATGAATTCCTTTGTATTATATTCTCTTTCACGCTTATATACCTATAAGGCAAATTCCTAAAAATGGAATTGCTGGGTCAAAGAGAGATATTAGGAATTTGGATAAAAATTATGAAAATGCCTTTCCAAATGTTGTGCCAGTCTCTTATCAGCAGCACGTGTATGAGAGTAACTGTTTTTAGTCTTTGCTAATCAGGTAGTAAAACATCGTAGAGCATTGTTATTTTAATTTGATTTTGTTTACTCATGAGTGAGATCAAGTACATTAGCATACATTTATTAACCAGTTACACCTCTTTTTCTCTAACCTGTATTCTTTCTGTGACTGGATTTTTTATATTGCAGATAATTTTCAAGAAATAATTATGATAATTTTAAAGCATACAATTAATATAAGAAGATTGGTGCCAGGATCATATATAATGAAATGATTCTTGATGAGGAAAAGACACCCAGTTCTGAAATGAGAGATATTCACATTGTAGATATTCACATTCTTCTTAAAAAACTGTGCAACAGGTACAGGGTGAGTGAAGCATTTGCAGATGTTGAGATGTGAATTGTCTTCCCCAATTTTACAGCTATGTAAATGAATGACAAATCAATAAAATTTGATTAAAAAAAAAAACTCCTACATGACAATATGGTCTATTGTAATCCCAAGACTCCAAAATACAAAAATCATAGAGGCTGTGTTTGTTCAGTGTCAACAGCACAGAAAGCAGCTTTTCAGAGGTTATGTAAGAGGCGGTAAGAAACATAATGGTTATACCATGTGTAAAACTAAAAAATAGTTGGGATTGGCCCAGATCTCAACAAGTGCAGCTGTGACAGAAACAGGAGACAGCAGTTAAATGCAAAGGAGAAAAGCTCTAGTAGTGGTGTGAGTCTGAATACTGGAAAGCCATGTGAAGATTAAGCCAAGGACTTATTTATCTTTGTTTAAATTCAATTTAAGTAGCTCACCAAGATAGGGAAGCTCAGGAGGACAAACAAACGGTTGTAGTTTTAGCTTATTGGTGGTGGTGGTGGTGGTGGAGGTGGTAGGTTTTGGTTGCAAGCACAGGGGTGTGATTCAAACTAAAGTTCAGGCTAAAAAGTATTCACCAGTTTATGTAAAAAGAAGTAGAGGGATTATCAGTTTTTAAGCATTCATGAGTGCCAGTGCAGAAGAGTTCGTCTTCATTATATCCCTCTTCAACTCACCTATTTGGCCTGTTTGGTCACTGCAAAAACCAGATTCATCACAGCAATTGAGTGGACGACTGTAAATGTAACCTAAGAATAGCTCAATTGCAGCTGCAATGCCAGATTTGGTATATTTATTAGAATATAACAACACTGCCTTTGACACCTCCTACGTAGTTTAGATCCTTCAATCCTCATCAGCAAAAGGGAGCAAAAGTAGTTATTGTTTATGTGGAAAGAAGAGCAGTACATATGCACTATTTTGCTGTAGGGTTATGTTAACTTTCCTATTCTTTGTCACAATATGTGTAGTCCATAAGGACATTGCTCAACTTGACATTCTGTACATCATCATACTATACTGATGATGTTATGCCGATTAGACCTGCTAATTTACCTGCTAAGCACTGAGTAGCAAGGTGCTCCCATACCAAATTCTTTAGAGTTTTCACATCCGATAATAACCTCTAACGGGTAATTGTAACAGCTTTAACATTCAGGCTAATAAAACTAAGGGGTCTGGTCCCTCAAGAAAACAGAAATGGGTAACCCAACAGGTAAATACTCTAGATCAAGCAGAATGGCATCATGGATAGAGGATGAATATCAATTATCACAGTAAGATCAATTATAGCTTCAGAGAATGTTGCTTGTTCCTCTAACACTCCTGCACTAAACGTTTTGTGAGCACTGCTGTCAGTGACCACCTTGAAGGCTCTC